TTGGCCTAGAGATAAAGTCATTTGTATACAGATTATAGCAGGAACCATGTGATTGGATCAGATTTTCCAGAAAGAAGGGGGAAAGCAAAAAGCAGCCTTTAGGGATCATGGAAAGAAGGGGAGGGTTTCATTAAAGAGAAGACTGAAAACTCAGAAGCAAATGAGGAGTTCTGTGCTGGAGTTTATGGAAGGGAGTTTTAATGAGGACATGGCCAGTAGCATCATATGCTGAAGAAAAATGTGAATAGGTTAAAGGACTTAGACAGTACAAAAATGCCCCTCCCCCCCTTTTTTTAATTTTTTAATCCTCACCCAAGGACATTTTTTCCACTTTTTTTTTTTAGATAGTGTGGGAAGGAGAGAGAGGCAGAGAGAAAGAAAAACATCGATGTGAAAGGGACATATTGAGTGGCCGCCTCCCTCACGACCCCAACCAGGGTCAGGGACAAATCGCAACTGAGGTATGTGCCCTTGACTGGAATCAAACCCACAACTCTTTGGTCCATGGGCCAACGCTGTAACCGCTGAGCCCAACCGGCCAGGGCTTTTAAAAATATTTTTATTGATTTTAGAGAGAGACAAAGAGAAACATCAATCGGCTGCCTCCTGCATACCCCCCCACCAGGGATTGAGCCCAAAACCTGGACACGTGCCCTTACCAGGAATCGAGCCGACAACCTCTCAGCACATGGGACGATGTTCAATCCACTGAGCCACACCTGCCGGGCAACAAAAATGCCTCATTTTCAAATAGCTGGATTACAAAGAGAAAAAGATGCCCTGGCTCAGAGGTTAGAATGACAGCCTGTGGACCAAGGGGTTGAGGGTTTGATTCCCAGCCAAGGGCAGCACATACTTGGGTTAAAGGCTTGATCCCCAGTCCCAGTCAGGGTCGTGCAGGAGGCAACCAATCGATGTGTGTCTCTCTCTTACATGGATGTTTTTCTCTCTCTCCCCCCTCCCTCCCTTCCACTCTGTCTAGAAATCAATGAAAAAATGTCCTCGGGTGAGGAGTTAAAAAAAAACAAAGGAGCCCTGGCCGGTTTGGCTCAGCGGTTAGAGCGTCGACCTGCGGTCCTGAGAGACCCGGGTTCGGTTCCCACTAAGGGCGCGTACCTCGGTTGCAGTTTGTCCCCGGTCCTGGTTGGTCGTGCGGTGGCAGCCACTCGATGTGTTCCTTTCACATCGGTGTTTCTATCTCTCTCTCTGTTCTTCTCTCTCCCTCCCACTCTACCTGAACAAAAAAATGAGAAAATGTCCTCGGGTGAGGATAAAAAATAGAAAATAAATTTTAAAAAAATAAAAAAAAAAACAAAGGAAAAAGAGAGTGAAAGCTAGGATACATAAAACAGAAGGAAACATTTTTAAAGATGGGTTAGCCGCCCTGACCGGTTTGCTCAGTGGCTAGAGCGTCGGCCTGTGGTCCAGAGAGACCCCGGTTCGGTTCCTGCTAAGGGCACGCACCTTGGATGCAATTTGTCCCCGGCCCTGGTTGGTCGTGCAGGTGGCAGCCACTCGGTGTGTCCCTTTCACATCGATGTTTCCCTCTCTCTCTCTTCCTCTCTCTCCTTCCCACTCTGTCTGTACAAAAAATGGAAAAATGTCCTCGGATGAGGATTAAAAAAAAAAAAAAGTGTCCTCAGGTGAGGATTAAAAAAAAACAAAAGATGGGCTAGCCAATTGCAAAGGAGATTGACAGTCAAGATGAGAGAGGATAATTAATAGAAAAATATTTCTGAGGTAGTGAGAGTTAATGGGATACAAAGCAAAGTACATGTGGAAGGATTAACTTGTCAAGAAAGATGAATAACTTATTCTGAAATAAGAGAGAAGGGAACAGTGGAATTAGGTGTAGAGGGAAATACCAAAGACACCGCTCAACACATTTACATCCTTTCTCATCTTAATCCTTTCAACCCTGCAAAGTAGGAGGTATTCTATATCTCTTACTTTCATAAATAAGGGATTTGATACTCAACACAATTAGTAAATAAATGGCAAGAGACAGGGTATTCCAAGTGTTAGGGGATTTAAGATTTTGTCCACCACAGAATTTGGCCCAAAGAGGGAGTAAATGAATGTTAACTGCATCGCTTCTATTCTTTTTAAAAACAAAAACAAAAACAGCCCTGGCCGGTTTGGCTCAGCGGTTAGAGCATTGGCCTGCGGTCCGGAGAGACCCGGGTTCGGTTCCCGCTAAGGGCATGTACCTTGGTTGCAGTTTGTCCCCGGCCCTGGTTGGTCGTGCGGATGGCAGCCACTCGATGTGTCCCTTTCACGTCGATGTTTCTCTCTCTCTCTCTTCCTCTCTCTCCCTCCTACTCTATCTGTGCAAAGAAATGGAAAAATGTCCTCGGGTGAGGATAAAAAACAAAACAAAACAAAAAAAAACCAAAAAAACCCTAAAAGGTCACCTAGGATGTAATTTTCCAAGCACTGTTTTTGTCCAACTCATTTGCATATTTGACTAAACTTCCCATAATAACTTCTAGTAACACTGCCCTCTTGCTTTATACTTTTCCCATCCTCGTGACTACCTTTATTTTTATAGGACTTTCAGAATTTGTATCTTTTCCTTCATCTGACCAAAGAATACTTCCTTCTGAAAGTCCCCTCTGAAGTATTCTCCTCCTGGTTCTAAGAACAGCTCATTAGTTGCCCAGTTTTGAGTATAAACCATACCTAATCCAAACAGGGCCTTCCCCATTCTTCTTCCCTCAGGTGACCTATTAGTATCAAGTGGACAGGAGTGCCATGCCCTTCCATCTAACTACCTAATATTTTTAATAAATTTGGAAAGATTAATATGACTTACAAGATAAACATGTAAATTACACAGAAAATGTTCTGCTTTTCTTGACTTTACACAGCCAATAGCTTCTGAAGATCAGACAGCAGCCCTGATGGCCCATCTCTTTGAAATGGGATTCTGTGACAGGCAACTGAATCTGAGGCTGCTGAAGAAACACAATTACAACATCCTGCAGGTTGTGACAGAACTTCTTCAGGTCAATAACAACGACTGGTACAGCCACCGCTATTGAGGAGTGACCATGTATTAAATAACGTTGCCTGCTGCTCAGAGATGATCTTCATTGTCATTGGGGTGTATGGTAGAAGCCCTTGCTTATGTTTTAATCTGATGAATCTGTATAGAGCCCATCATTGAATTGTCAAGACAATACCTATATTACACTATTTTTTTGGAGCAAATCAGACCAGAAAGAACATGAATTTTTGCTTTAGACATTGGATGAATAGTAGAAAGACAGCTTTGTCAGTTGATTTGGATAAAATTCCTTTCTCCATTTTAGTGCATTGAAGAATATAACTTGAACTTCCTATACAACCGTTTTTCTTTTTGCTTGTATTGAAGTTGAGTATTTTTCTTGGTTAATGCGGATGTTTTTATAGGGTTATTTGTTAATTGTCAGTTTTTAAAAGAAATTAACCCTGAAAGTTGTTTTCCAGAATTACTGATAATTTCTCTACCCTACTCCAAGCCTCATAGCTATGTGGTATTGAAATATACCCAGAGCATGACAGGAATGTTAGGTACTCTCCCTTTCTCAAGGAGAAAGTCATTTCCTGCAAGACCTAGTAATTGGCACTGTTGTTTTCTAAAGAGCCCATTGATGAATTTAAGAATATCTACCATCTGGGTCTCTGCACTTCAGTGAAAGGAAGAGAGAATGTGCTAATTAAACCACCAGCACCTTTTGAGCAGTGTCTATTGTAATTTTGCATACATTTTTCTCTTATTTAAGGGGGGGAAATTAAGTAGTGTGAAATATTTTGCTAATCCTATAGAGGAAGGAAAAAAACTCTTCTATTAAAGGGAAAGTAAATTGGAACAGTTACCTTTTTTCTTATGTCAGGGTGGATCTTATTTACAGTAGTGGGAGTAGAAACATGTGAAAAGTGAAAGGCAAGGCTCCTGTGTTAAAGTTCAGGGGTGGGCAAACAAGTGTTCGTGGGCCGTAGGAAATCCTGATGGCTTCCTGAATGTTTGAATCTGTTCAAGGGTTTCTAGCCCTACAGAGTCTAGACCAGAAAGAAGAGGCTGGTGTTTTGTGGAACGTGGATGGGGGTAAACACTGAAAAAGTGTTGGTTTAACCCCAGGATTAGTGGAGAAGAGCTTGGTTCCAGGGGTGCAGGTCCTCACTTTGTTTACAGAAGACAGTCTTGAGTACAGCTGGTGAAAAACGAGGTTACCAAAAGAAAAAAAAGAACTTTGTGAGATATATTTATGAAAATGACTTCAAGAAGAATCTCACCCCAGCCCAAAAGGGGGAAGGATAATAAAATAGTATTTTTTAACTGGTTGGTGGTGTTTACAGAAGAGAGTTTTGGGTACAGTTGGTGAAGAAAGAGGTTGCAAATAAACACTAAAAGATATATTCATGAAAATGACTTCAAAAAGAATCTCACCCTAGCTCAAAGCGGGGAAGGATAGTAAAATAGTATTATTTAACCTGGTTGGTGTTTATAATGAATGATTTTAATTAATCATTAGCCATAATGATGATGTTTATTTACAGTATAACTCAAATGCTAATTAATAAGCCAGGATTCTGACTGCAAGCCAACCAGGCTGTTCATTATTTAAAACGTTTTTATCAGGGCTTCTGGGTAAGAGGCTGAGCGGCAGGGTGTGTGTAATTAATTGGGTTGATGTGAGGCGGGACCTGTCTTGACCATCTGAGTCGTATCGCAGGGGTCCAGGAGGGTCCGGTCGTCCGCCCCATTGTATTTGTACATAACTGCTGGAAAAAAATGGTGAAATAAAGTTCCTTGAAACACCTACCTGGATTGTGTGGTCCTTATGGAAGCAGCGTCCCAGACCTGAGTGACCTTTGAAGAGCCGAGCGTGTCTCCAGCGGCTGTGTCCAGAGAGGCTGATCCCTGCCTGGTGGGCGGGCCCGGAGGGGCGGGGGCGGGGTCTCCCAAGGCCTCGAGTCAAAACTCGGTAAAGCCTCAGGCTCCTAAACTTTTGGTTTCGCTTGCAGCCGTTTCCGTCGCTGTGTTAGCGGTAAGGCGCCCAGGGGACCCTTTCTCTTTGGGAGGCAAGGGCCAGGGGACCCTCTGTGCCTCCTAGCCCAACACGCAGGCACACGCGGCTACCAAACTCGACCAACGGCCTCTCCGGATGTCTGGTGGGACGTGAAAACCCTCATTTAAATTCCAGCCTCTCTGTCTGCTCCCCCATCTCCATCTCGGACAACCCCAGAGTAGGGCGGGAAGGGGCTTGTCCCTCCCGGGAGGCCAGGGTCGCTGCTCCCCACTCCCTCCAACGCGATGCATTGGATCCCCCAGGTCTCTTGCTGAAGGGGCCCGGTTTTCCTGCAATCTGGCCGACCCCAGCCGTGGCTTTTCGGCGACCGTGCCTTGCAGGCTCTCCTCCCCATAGACCCAATCCAAATCTCTCTTGCCGCTGTGAGGATCCCCGGATCCCACACCTGAACCAGGTGAGGTTCCCTTTATTTTAGCCCAGGGGTCTGAGTGCAGCTCACCTTGCCCACTCATTCTGCCACCACTCGAGTTTGGGGGGCGGGGGAGAACCTGGATTTAGCTTTGACCTTTCCTAGTGAAGGACAGATGCTGATATTGCTACCACATGCCCCTAGGCATTCTTTCTTACCCCACCTCAGAAAGCAGTGAGGAAGAGGTTTATGCTCCCTTCCAGGATTTTTAAGGGTTATTAGCCTCACCTGTGAATCATCTAGCATCCTTTCTCTTGTTTGGAAGACTCCTTGCCTTCCTATTAAAGCCTGCACCTGCCCAGGCCTAGGAATGGAAGCTTTCCCTCCACACCGGGGCTGGGAGACCTCAGGCATTTCTGCCCTGGTGCTCTAGAGATCTCTTCAGAGTCAACTTGTTGCATAGGAAGAAGGGACTCTACTGACTGCTGTCCCCTGCCCTATCCAACTTATTTCCCCTGAAGTGAAGGACTGTTCAGCAACTTTCCCAGAAAAAAAAGTAAGTGCTCTGCCATTCACTTATGAAAGTACCTTAAAGTGAAATAACTTCTGCTTTTCTTTTCCCTCTTGTAGGCAGATTGAGCTCTCCTACAATAATGAAAGGAATTGAAATGCATTGAGATTTCTGACCTGAGAGTCCAGTGTAACTGCTCGATTTTCAATACCCTAGCTTGCTTAGGCTTGAACTTGCTGAAATTGTGGTGAAACTTCTTGCCAATCTTGAGAACCTAAAACCAAATTGACATTCACCATCAGTGCTGACAAGCTTAACACTGAACTTTGTTCTTTTCTCATTAGTGAAAAAGCTCCCAGAATGATGGGTGAGACATTCTCCCAGCTGGGCTCTCAGGAGGATGAAAACAAGTCGATCCTACCCCCTGACCCAGCCGTTGGTAGCAAGGCTGCCAAATATGCCAGCAATGGTAGCAGCAAGTGTTTTTCTTCCTGTGCGCCATGTGAAAGGGCTGCCGGTGCCAGCTTTGTAACTTGTCCCACCTGCCAGGGCAGTGGGGAGATCCCTCGAGGTGAGTGGTTCAAGTCTCTGGAAATAGCCTGAGTCCAGAAAAAGCTCTTATAAATCAGCCGGCCCATGGCCAGGCACCTCTGAGACTCCTTGAATGGGGTTAGGTCTCCCAGCTTTTGGACCCCCAGTTTAAGGCTGGCTAGGGAGATGGCTAACCCCTCCTGCCCTGGTTGTACTCCCCAGCCCCAGGAGATTCCAGCCTCTCCACTCCCTTAGCAATAATGTACCTTAGGATTCAGGAAGTTACAAATGATTTCTCCAATGCTCTGGCCAGTTTGGGTCAGTGGTTAGAGTGTCAGCTGGTGGACCAAAGGGTCACGGATTCAATTCTCAGTCAAGGGCATGTACCCAGGTTGCAGGTTTGATCCCTGGCCCTGGGTGGCGTCGTGTGGGAGGCAACCAATTGATGTCTCTCTCTCCCCTCCCTCCCTTCCACTCTATCTAAAAAAATTAATGAAAAAGAATCCTTGGGTGAGGATTAACAACAACAACAACAACAAAAAGACTTCTCCAAAGAAGTTAGGCTCTGATTTGCAAAGAAGCTTAGAATTCAGGAAGTTACAGATGACTTCTCCAAAGTAGGGTCTGATGAAGAAATACCAGAAATTCTTCACATCTGTTTCTGAAAATCTCACTTTCATGCTTTCAATGACATGCTTCTGACATTGCTCTGTGGGGTGGAGGGGTACTTCTGGCAGACTGGCACAGGAAACATTTGTCATGGACACTTCTTGGCCCTCCCTCTCCCTTCTTTGTCTCTACAGAGCTAGAGAAGCAGCTGGTGGCCCTCATCCCCTATGGAGACCAGAGGCTGAAGCCCAGGCACACGTAAGCTCCTCTTCCTACCCCTGAGCTCCACAGGCCATTGCCCCTGGAGGCTGTTCCTCTTTGTCTCCCCTATTCTGTCTCCCCCTAATTTTTCTCCACTGGTTCTCCCCCAAAACTCCTGAGCCTCATTGGGCTAAGACGTACTAGCCCCATTTTCAAGGATTTTCCTGATTTAAGAAACCCAGGTCATAGCTACCTGAAGCTGCTTGGTGTCCTCCTGAGCATCACTGCCTCCAATAAGCATGGCTCCCTTTTGAAGACAGAGAGGAACCTCTTAACTCTGCAAGTCTTTCCAGGAGGGAGGGAGTGGCCCTGGCTGCAACTGGTTGGGTTATTTTTCCTAAGAGCTTCCCTTGCTGTGGCAGTTCAGACCTGCTTATTCTCTTCCCAGTAGAGATGGAAAACCAGAGGCTTCCTGTTCCGAGACACTTCAGGACCTTAGAGGCAACCCTGAGCTTCTCTGGGCCAGGGTGTGTGTGTGTGTGACCCTGATTATCATCTGGGTCCATTTGACATGGATCCCTACAACCTCCTCTCAAGGTCCTCAGCTTCGGGCTGAGAGTTAACACCCAGCTCCACCACAACACCAAAATCTAAATCTGGCAGTGTCCCTCATGAGATGTTATAAGATCTTTAATGTACATCTCAATGTTGAATTAGATGAACAGATGATGTCCTGTTCTGCATATTCAGAACTTTCAAAATTCATGTGGACTAACTTTTTCCAGTGGTAATAGCTAGCATTTGTTGAGCTTTAGCTATGTGCCAGGACCTGGGATTAGTGCTTTTTAAAAAATCTTTTTTTTATTTTTTCTTTATTGATTTTAGAGAGAGGAAGGGAGAGGGAGAGAGAGAAATAGAAACATCGATGAGAGAGAACATCAACTGGCTGCCTCCTGCATGACCCCACTGGGGATCGGGTCCACAACCTGGGCATGTGCCCTGACCAGGAATCAAACCAGCGACCTTCTGGTGCATGGGTCGACACTCAACCAATGAGCCACACTGGGTGGGCTAAAAATATTTTTAAATATTTTGATTTTATGCCTGGCCAGTATGGCTCAGCAGTTGAGCATTGAGCAAGAGGTTGCCAGTTTGATTTTTGAGAGTCCAGGTAATTTTTGAGAGTACTTTTAGGAAAGCAGGGGACAGTGAAACAAGGAAGGGCTTAGGATAGCAGAAGCAACAGGAGAGAGCCTAGGCGGGGCTACTTTGGCTCACTGAGAAGTCAGGGAAAAGGGGCCTTGGGGATAGGTTTAAGAGGTTAGCCTGGTCGAGCTGGTGTGGCTCAGTGGTTGAGCGTCGACCCATGCACCAAGAGGTTACTGGTTCGATTCCCAGTCAGGACACATGCCCAGGTTGTGGGCCTGGTCCCCAATTGGGGGCATGCAGGAGGTGGCCATTCGATGTTCTCTCTCATGGATGTTTCTCTCTCTCTCTCTCTGTAAAATCAATAAAGAAAGAAAGGGGAAAAAAGATCTTTCTTAAAAAAAGAAAGAGGTTAGCCTAGAAGGAACTGTTGCTGCCCATTGCTCCCCTGTTGCAAGTGTTGCGTGGTCCCTTAGAGTTCAGGAGATGCATGCCTGTGGGGGAAGAAGGCAAGGAAAAGAATGGTGTGGGCCTGCTCCCAGGAGGGAGAGCAGGGGCAGATTAGTGCTTTTCTATGCATTAGCCTATATCAAATTCTATGAGGTAGATACAATTATCTCCATTTTACAGCCCAGGCTGGTTTGGCTCAGCGGTAGAGCATCAGCCCACAGACCAGTCGCGGGTTCGATTCCAGTCAAGGGCACGTACCTCGGTTGTGGTTCTTCCCCAGCCCTGGTCAGGGTCTTGTGGGAGGAACCAGTCAATGTGTCCTTCTCACATCCATGTTTCTCTCTCTCTCTCCCTCTCTCTCCCTCCCATTGTATCTGAAGATAAATAGAAAAAGTCCACCCTGGCTAGTTTGGCTCAACGGTTGGAGCGTCGGCCTGTGGACCAGAGAGTCCTGGGTTCAGTTCTCACTAGGGGCACGTACCAAAAAAAAACAAAAACAAAAGAAAAATATCCTCGGGTGAGGATTAAGAAAAAAATAAGTAAATAAAATCTTTAGTTATTTCTATTTTACAGACAAGAAAACTGAGGTTTAGGGTTGCTCAGAGTTACTGGACCAGTGGGTACAGAGAGCTGGGAATGGAAGCCAAGCTGTCTTCCACCCAGTCCTGTGCTCCTACCTGCTCGGGACCACATCTGAATATAGGCTGGTCCCCCACATCCAGGGGACTAACTATACATTTGAGGGGGCGGGGTGCAGAGGAGAGCCTTGTACCCGGAGAGGAGTATCTGAATGCCCCCTGCCTGAGTTTGCTTGGTGGTGGTCAGACTTCACTCCTCTACCCCGGGTCCTGCTTTCCCACAGGAAGCTCTTCGTGTTCCTGGCAGTGCTCATCTGCCTGGTGACCTCCTGCCTCGTCATCTTTTTCCTGTTTCCCCGGTCCATTGTTGTGCAGCCTGGGGGCCTGAACTCCTCCACTGTGGCCTTTGACGAGACTGATATCCGCCTCAACATAACGGTGGGTGGTGCCTGTGCCTCTGGGCTCTGACCCCCACCTTCCCAGCAATACTCTTCTGTAGCCCTTGTCCAGTGTTGTGAACCTGGGCACCTGGAGGGTGTTCGAAAGCTGGGGAGAAGCAGGGGCCCTGAGCCCATAACAGATTGTGTAGGATTGGGACTCTCCACAGTGAGGGGTCAGAATCAGGGCCTGAGAAATAAATCACAGGGTGTAATGGGGGTGGCATGCCTGAGACTCCCTGAGTGGGCAGGGTGAGACTGGATCCTGAGCCAGCTTCATGTTTTAGCTGAAGTGACTCCTCACCGTTGAGAGCCCCTGCAAGGAGCTCCCGACACTGGTCCTCAGCAGCTGAGGCCCGTCCTGGGGGTGGGGCTCAGTCAGGCTGGAGGTTTTGAAACTATTTGACTTCTCCTTTCCAAGGAAGGCCACTCTCACCCCTCCCTTTCCTTGTCTTCATTCCCAGAATATCTTGAACATCTCCAATAGCAACTACTACCCTATCACTGTGACCCAGCTAACCATTGAGGTTCTGCACCTGTCCCTCGTGGTGGGGCAGGTCTCCAACAGCCTCCTCTTACACATCAGCCCTTTGTCCAGTGAACAGGTGACTCCCTCTCCCTGGCCAGCCCTGCCCACAGGTGTGGGGATGTGTGCGGTGGTGGGAAGTGGGCAGCAGCTGGAGTTGGGGCTAACCTATGCCCATTTGGCTGACAGATGTTTTATGCAGTAGCCAACAGGATCTGGGATGAAAACACATAGTGAGTATCCCTTGATCTCTTCTCCCTCAGCCTCTTTTCGGGTTAGAAACCCAGTTTTAACCCCCAGCAGTTTTCCTGATTGCTTAGCAAACCCAGCAGCCAGCATTTGGCCTGCACTCGTGGCTGAGGCTGCATTGTGCAAGGGTTCAGGGTCCCTAGCTTCTGCCTGTTTGGACCTAGATTGGAATGAAAAACAGACTAGGATTTGGTTAATCCTTACAATACGTGACCTTGGGCTCTTCAGCCTGAATTGCTGAGAAGGATAAATGTCCTTTTCTGCTGAGGGAGGGGCCAAGCATGTGTCTGGGCCAAGCTGTGGGTATTGGAGGAGTGATATTGATGCAAGGGTGACATAGTCACCTTAGGCAGAGGGAGGGGGAGGAGTGGAGTGGTATTTGGGGCCCTTGATGGAAAGGGAGGCAACAAGACTGAGACTTGCAGGTCTTTAAGCCTTCTGATAGGCCACTCAGTGTAAAACATGGTCCAATGTTTCTCTCTCTCTCTCCCTCTCCCTCCCTCTCTCAGCAAGATCTGTAGCTGGCTGAAAATCAAAGTCCATCATGTGCTTTTGCACATCCAGTAAGTAGTGCTTGGAGCCCAGGTGTTCCCTTTCCCACTTCTGACTCCAGTATCTCCTCAGCCCTACCTTGTGAGAGCAGAGTCATCCAAGCTGACCCCATAAATCTGTTAGTTCTTGGGAATAGCAGGTCCAGCCCCTTCTCTAGGCTCCACTTTGCTTATAAATTATTAGTGTGGCAGCCACAGAGCTGTCTGAACACAGGCGAGGAAGCAATCCTAGATGCCTTAGCATAGTCGGGAACAAAAGAAGAGGGGGCGGTGTCTGAGGGAGCCAAACCCATCCCCAGACAGCAGAGCAGGGCCAGAGCTTTCCTCTTCCTCCCAGACACAGCAACAAAGCCTGCTTCCTCCCCAGGGGCACCGTGACCTGTACCTACCTGAGTCATTCAGAGCAGCTGGTCTTCCAGAGCTATGAATATGTGGACTGCCGGGGAAACACATCAGCGCCCCACTTGTTGGTCCCTCACCCGCCGTGACCTGTCTGCTGTCCCCAAACTCCAGGCACCTGCCAGCCTGGTCTGTACCTCTCACAACTCTGTGCTACCTGAGGAAGGACTGTGGTGACTTTGCCCAAGGAAAAGCACTGCTTTATCATACCACCCCCACCCCTGGACACACACACTCCTCAGCACAGGAAGCTCTCAGATGTCCTGGTTCTGCCGGGGTTTCCACTTGGTCTGTCTTGAGGCAAGTCTGACCTGCTGTTTCCTCAGAGTTCCTTAGAATCCTTGGCATGGCCCCTGCCCTTTCTGTTCTGAGCACCTTAGTTGCCCAGCTCCTCAGGTCTGGCTTTCCACCTGCCTGAAAGTGGAGAAGCTTCCATTTATCTGTCTTTAAAAACAGGAATTCTTTTCAGGTTCTCCACCTAGTGGCTCTGCATCCTTCCTGGTTAAAAACGATCCTGGTTCCTAGGAAGACAACCGTTCTCTAGCTCAAGCTTCTCTCCTTGAAACAGTTTTATTATTGTCTTTATAGGAGGAGCAAAGTAGTAGGGGAGGGGAGGGAGGCACCTGGCACCCCTTGGGCCTACACAGGAAAAACAAAGCCAGAGTCATTTTAGAAGGTATTTATTTATTGAAGGAGAGCTTCTGGCTGGTGGTGAGCCCACAGCCCTGAGCCCATGCAAGTAGACACAGGCAGGCCAAGCAGTGGGCCCAGCTGCTGTCTCCCCCAAAGCCTGCAGAGGTGAAGCTGCACCAGGACCCACCCTCTGCTCCCAGAGGCCTCTGCGTTCCTTTGGGCATTGACAGTATGAAGCGGCACATCAGTAGGGACTGGTCTCACACCCTCTTTGCTGTCACTCAGATGAAGCCAAGCCCCAGGTCTTCCAGGTCCAACTGGGCTCCGAGTGGAGGTTTCTGTTCTTTAGCTGAGCAGAATGGTATTTGCTCACCAAAAGTGGCTAAGGTTTTATCACACAGGCAGAGATGAGCTTCGGCGGTGGGGAAAGCTGAACTTAAAGTGGGATGGATGAAGACGGGGAACTGGTGACAACTGGTGACTGGTTGGCTGGCTGGGAGGACGAGAGGAAGGAAGGAAGTTGTGCTGTCTCTGCACTTTCATGTCTGGGTAACTGGGGTCAAGGTGGTGCTGGCAGGAGCACAGAAGTCCGGGAAGGCCAGGCTAGAGCTGCTTCTGTGTGTAAGTCACCAAATGTAAAGAATTTATATTGTTGTCAATAAACTATACTTCACAATGTTTAAAAAAAGTCTCCTGTGAGTGAGAAGGGAGCTTGGTGGTGGACAAGTCCCATCTCAGCCTGTTTCTTGATGTCCGAATAGGTATCAAGGTGTCTTCCCAGGCCGAGCCCCTTGATAACATGGCCTGCCTTTCTGGCTTCTGAGGGATGGCTCTCTCCCTTTCCCACTGTAGTATTATCTCTAAGGTCCCTTCCAACTTTAGTGCTGTTCTTTGCCCCCCCCCCTCCCCGCCAGCTGCTCCCCTCAGGAAACACTGCACTGAGGGGCTCCTTCGGTCTGACCAAAGGTGGCGCTATGCAGGCCACAGTAACAGGACCCAGGCTTCCTCCTCACTGGTCCCAGGTGGAAGAGGAGGCCAGGCTAGAAGACCCTGAGGTCAGCTTCAGGAAGTGATGAGGGGGATGCTTGGACCTTTGGAGCCTCTTGGCTGTCTCTGCCCCTTGGAAAGGCTAAGACTCAGGAAGGAAGAGGCCTGTGGATTTTTGTGGGCCAGTGGGCCAGTCCCCTCCCCTTCCCAGGGTCCTATGTCCTGTGCCCTGTGCCCTGTGCCTGAGTTTATAGCTCCCCTTTACCAAGTGCTTTCTCTCCGTTCCTGCCTCTCATCACCCATTCAATAGCTGAATGCCCATTGTGGGCCAGGCATTACACTGGACCTGGGGGGCTTCCTCCCTGTTTCCCACCTCTTCCTACTGCTGCCCCAGGCCTGCTCTGGTGGGAGACAGCCCCTCCTCCTTCCCCAGCTGTATTTCAGTAAGCACAGGCTAGGCGGAAGGGGTGATGGCTCCTGTGAGAGTCATAGACCTGAAGCCCTGACAGAACTAGCATTGCTAAAGGAAAGAGCCAGCAGTGGAGCTGTAGACTTGGGAATCTAGGGCCAGTTCTCCACTGGCTCTGCCTAGAGAAGCATGCAATTGCCTCTACTTTCTCCCTCACCCTCTCCATCCCCTCATGTCTTCCTGCCCTTTCCCTTCATCCCAGTCTCACAGAGCTGACCAGTCCCGTTTCTTTCCAGTAAGAAATTTTATTCCCAGCTGGCCTCCTCTCTCAGAGTGGATCAGGAGGGAGTGGCTTTTGGAGTGGAGATGTTGCTGGGTGGTGAGAAGTTGGGGTTGCTCATCTGTTTTTTTACTGATGGCCAGTTGGGTCTTGGGGGTTTATGTCTGGATCACCACTGCTGTGTGTAATTTGTTGACTGAGAAGAGGGAGAGACAGGAGGCAAAACAGGTTAATTAGCACTTTCTGGGCTTGCTGGTTTCAGGACATTAAGCCTTTTGAGGCCAGAGGAATCAAAGTGAAATGTAACAGGCCAGCCCTCATCCTTAAAGGGCTAGGAATAAGCCAGGCTCTAAGCTAAGTGCTTTTGGTGACTTCTCTTGTCATTGCCACATGCAGTGCTCATGGATCCTCTATGAAGGAGGTGGTATTATCATTATTAATTTATGGAGGGGGCAGCCAAGGCTCAGAGAGTAAGTCATTCTACTAGGGAGTGGTGATCCGGAGACAAAACCACCTCTGACTTCGGGTCTTGGCTTCCTTCTGCTCCATTGCCTCTACACCAATCAGCACTTAAAACCGCCTCTCATTTTGCTTCTCTGGCACCTGTCCTATCTCTCCAAATAGATTGTCAACCCCTCCACTTACCCAGTGCTGAGCAACAGCCCTATTTAGACATTTTTCGGGGGTAAGGAACAGGACCGGGGGAATGGACCACCCAGAAGTGACTTAAATGATTGCACTCCTGCCAGGGAAGCTCTCTAGAATCCACAGGCACTCACCCACCAGCACACTCAGACACATAGCCAGAGTCTGCCTGCCTTCCATGCTGTCTGTCTCACCGTGAATTGTGGGTACCCGGTGTATTTATCTGGACTGGGTTGGTCTGATTTCTTGGAACCTAATAATGAAACAAAGCACATATTACTCATCTGGCAGTTTCTGAGACTAGAGCATGGCAGAGCTGGACTCCGACTATGTGACTGGGGACAGGTGGCGGCCCCTACCTGGGGCGGGGCAGAGACTGAGCCCATCCTGAAAGTTCTCAACTAGGAACTGTGACTCCCTGTTCCAGGCCTCACAGGGCTCAGTATATGTATTGCTAAGCTCATATCCTACTCTCTGACCACCCTTCCCTGGAGGAAGGGCTGACAACGTCCCAGCCACCCTCTGCAGAAGTTGGAAGCCTTTAAGGCACTGGGTTGGCATAAACACCCTCAGAGGGAGTGGCCCCCAAGTAAAAGCCAAGGGTACTGGAGAGAGTCACAGAGGGTGGGGTTACAGATGTGGATTCTGGACTATGGGGCAGGGATGGGAGGCTTCGCACTTACCAGGGTGAGGGATGTTCCACTCTCCTTGGAATTTGTCATTACAGTAGTAGTAGTTGGATTGTTGCCCAGTTTGATGGGTCCCCATTGAGCCAAGATGGGGACCAGGCTTTTGGGAATCCTGGAGATTGTGCTGGAAGGTGTACTCAGTAAGAGGGTCTTGAGGTTGCCTTGGCTGAGGTGGTGGCTGTGGCGGTGGTGGCGGGGACTGTGGCTGTGATGTCTGCCCTTGAGCCTGTGCCTGCACCTGCCTCTGTGACAGCTCCGCTGGCTTGGGCGGGGGCGTCTGCAATTGCACTGGTGATGGCCCTGTCTCCCGAGCTGGCTGGGTGTTTTCCTCAGATTGGCATTTCTCCTCTTGGAGTTTCTTCAGTTCCTGGCAAGAAGCCCTCAGCAAGTGACAGCCTCCTCCCTCCTCCCCGGCCTCCCATCTGCCAGATACCTGGGGAGCAAGACAAGCAAATCCAGAGGGAGAGCTGCCCCAAGGTCTCTGTTCCCTGGAGTTGGGGACTGAGGCTAGAGCAGGAGCTATCTCCCTTCACTCACCACAACACCTAAGAACTGTTTCTCTGGTGGCTGTGCCAGGGGGCACTGTTTCCCTCCCCAGAAAACAGCAGTCTCTGAACACCTACCTCCTAGCTTGGGAGCTCTGCACTGAAAAACAGTTTGCAGTACAGGAAGATAAAGAATAATTTTGTGCAAATGCTTTGTAAGAGCACTGTCCAATGGAAATATATGTGCCACGTGTAGTTTTAAATGTTCTAGTAGCCACATAAACAGTAAGAAACAGGTGAAACTATTTTAAATAATATATTTTATTTAACCCAATATATCCAAACATGTAATCAATAGGAAAATATCACATAGTTTATATTCTTTGTTTTTGTACTAAGTCTTCAAAACCCAGCATGCATTTTACACTTAATAGCACATCTTATTTGGGACATGACATTTCAGAAAAAAGAATTAATTTCTATTTAGATTTCATCAAATTTCCAGTTGAAAAAGTAGATTCACATATCCAAGTTGTTCCAAACATAAGGTTCGTCAATATGTAAACTGAGTATTTGTTTTAAATTTTACATTTAAATGAATTAAGTGTGTATACAATTTTAAATTCAGTTCCTCGGTTCAAGGGCCACATTTCAAGGGCTCGATAGCAGAGGCTGGTGGCCACCCTATTGGACAACACAGCTTTAAAACCTCCCAGGCCCGAGCTCCCTCAGTCTCCCCCTAGGCCTCAGCAAAGCCGAGTCACCCTAATATACACATGTGTACACACACACACACACACACACCACGAGTTCATCTGAGAGAACACCAAAGGACCTTACTTTCCTCCTATCCCCAGCAAAGCAATGTTCACAGCATAATAGACAGTTCCCTAGGGGTCTGTCTTCCCTCCCCATTCCTGTCCTAACCCTGGAAGGACCTGATGAAACTGACCCCTCTCATGCACCTTCTCTTGATGTTGCTGCTGCTCTTGCTGGGCCATCAGCCACTTCCTCCGGTCCAAAGCCATCTGCCTACGACGGGCCTCCCAGTGGTAAGCGCTGCCCATGATTGTGGGGGAGGCAGAAGGGGATGGGGCAGGCAGAGCCCCGGGATGCTGCTTCTGCCCCCACCAGCCTCTGTAGCCTCTCACCCCAACCCCACTGCTTGTCACCAGAACCACCTCACAATACAGCCACTACCACGACAACTGGTCAGGAGCCCCTGCCTTGGGGAGGAGAGAGGTGTTCTTCCCAAGCCTCCTAGGAAACATCTGTAATGTACCTATCTTTCCAGGGCCCTGAACAGGTCGAAGACACCTTCCCTTATTAGCTCTGAGTCTAAATGGTCCCAGTAACAATTCTGAAGTCAGCTGGCTTTTCTCTCTGGTTTCTTTCTCCCACTTTTCCTAGGATTCCAGCATCTTCATCTGGCCCTCTGCTGTCCCCCCCCTCCTCCAAAGGTCCCTAAGGTCACCTCTCCCTCAGTCCTCCATCTCCTCCTCCTGTGCCGAGTCAGGAGGAAAGAAAATACAAAGTCCAGATAACTCTCGCCAGCCTGAGCCCCATGAAGTACAAGATGGCTGATTGGAAAGTGCCTTCGTCTTGGGATTTATAATGCAGGACACAAGCCTAGAGTCTAGCTCTTCCTCTGACCCTGCAGACCCTACCTAACCTCTCTGAGCTTGTTTCCTTGCCTGTAAAACCAGAAGGATTTAACTTGTTACCTTCTTCAGAGGACTGGTATCAAGACCAAATGGATTACTAGATGAGAAATATACAAGAGGAAGTATAAAGTTGTTGAGCTACGGGTTGGTATTATTTATTATCCTAGTGACTTGTGTCCCCAGTAGGTAGAGTGGCCAGAGGAGGGGGTCATTTCCTACTGCCCAGGGAGCTTCTGGGAACAGGGTCTGGGTAGACTATTGGCCCATCTCCTACACGTACGTGCCTTTACCCACAGATATAAATCTTTCTGGAAGCAGCAGAGCCTGAGTCTAGCTTCAGGGCTGAGGGCAGGGTAGGGGTATAGGTAAAAATAAAAGGGGGGGGAGTCTTTGTACCCAGCCCAGCCTCAAACACTGTGGTGGTAGAGGAAGGGTGCGGGGAGCAGCCCTTGAACCTGAGAGCAGGTGCCTGGACAGCCTGTCAGTTCAGGCACCTGGTAGGGTGGGTCAGTGTGAGCTTTGAAGGCAAAGACTCAGATTCAAGTTCAATCCTAGTTGTGTCACCTCCTAGCCGGGGACTTAGGCAGGTCACTCAGTGTCTCTGAGCTTTCCTGTGAAGGTTGTTGGAAGACCCTATGGAATACATGGAAAGTGCCTGTCCTCACAGTGGACACCGGGCTGTGGCCAGTTGGTAGCTCTACTGAGGGGCCAGTGGGGCCTGAGCTTTGCTGGATCTCCTTCCTCCTTTGCTAGTTCCCTCTCATCCTCCTAGCACCCAGGGGTGTCAGCTGTAACAACAGATGACAAGGGTTTCCAGATGCAGAAGGTGATATTGAAGCTTCTTACTGGACATTTATCTTTAGATAAATTAATTCTAAAAACATTAAATGGGAAATGATAATAAGAGGAAGAGAAAGGCACTCAACTTCCCAATAACTAAATGTAAAAAGGAGGAAGTGGGTTTTTGCTTGCATCTCTTCCTCTCTCGCTTTCCCTCTTATTCTCCTCCTACCCTAGAAAGAACAGGGATCAGCCCTGGCCGGTTTGGCTCAGCGGTTAGTATCAGCCTGTGGTCCAGAGAGACCTGGGTTCGGTTCCCGCTAGGGGCACATACCTCGGTTGCAGTTTGTCCCCGGCCCTGGTTGGGTCGTGTGGGTGGCAACCACTCGATGTGTCCCTTTCACATCGATGTTTCTATTTCTCTTTCTCCCTCCCTCCCTCCCTCTCTATCTGAACAAAAAATGGAAAGAGTGTCCTCTGGTGAGGATTAAAGAAAAAAGAAAAAGAAAGAACAGGGATCAGATGGGGAGATGCTCAGGGTGGAGGAGGTGGACTGGGCTGAATTTAGGGAAATGTTCCCAACCCTCTGAGCCAGTCCTCATTCCAGAGGAAGGGTTTTCAAAGTGATTCGCCAAAATTGTGCCAGGTAAATCCTATGAATTACCAGCTGCATTATTTATTAGGCATGCAAATGTGGTCTAGTTCCTCTATCTCTCTGATCAGTTTCCTCATCTGCAAAGTCAAGGTAGTAATTCCTCCATCCTAGAGATATGTGATGATTAAAGGAAATATTTCATGTCACACAGAGTTCAATAAACCAATGCTTTTATTATTATAGTATTCCACAAATTTATGATGTTATTGATTGTGAGAGACACTATTTTATGTACCCCAGAACAAGAAAGGAAGAAAGAGCCCTGGCTGGTTTGGCTCAGTGGTTGGAGCGTCGGCCTGCGGACCAGAGAGTCCTGGGTTTGGTTCCCGTTAGGGGCACATACAAGAAAGGAAGAAAGAGGAAAAAAAGGGACACACTGCCATGTAAACAGCCACGTTGCTTTCTTGTGATATCGAATGTAAGATGCATCCTGGTTTCTGAGACATAAAAAAATAAAAAAGATGTGTGTCTTGGATGAAATCAAGCACCGTCATAGAGTGTGACCACCACAGTGGCTCTCCACAGGATGCCTGGGCTCTAAGCCTCTGTCTGCCCAACATCTGGATGACCTTGAATTGTCCATCTCAGAACCTGGGTTTCCTTGTAGGCCAGGTAAGCACAGGGTAAGATGACTGACTTTTGGGCTGCTGGGAGGTCCAGACACTCTGAGGGGCCGTGGCTGCCTTTGCTGCTCCCTGCTGGCCCTGCTGTGCAGAGAGAACCTGGCCTTGGTTGAGAGGATGACACTATGCCCCTAGGGGTGGTGAAGTGCAAGTAAAGGAGCCGAGTGGCCACCAACCCTGCTGGGATCTTTCTTTTATTGCTTTGTTTTGTTTTCTTTATTGATTTTTTTTTTTTTTTTTTTAGAGAGAGAGGACCATCGATGGGAGAGAACATCGATTGGCCGCCTCCTGCGTGCCCCCCACTGGGGATCAGGCCCACAACCTGGGCATGTACCCTGACTGAGAATTGAATCAGCGACCTCTTGGTGCATGGGTTGACGCCCAACCACTGAGCCACACCAGCCAGACTATTTTGTTTATTTTTTAATGTTTTTTAATTTATCGATTTTTAGAGAGAGTGAAACATCCATTGGCTGCCTCCTAGATGTGCTCCAACCAAAGATTGAACCCACAACAGGGCATGTGTCCTAACTGGGAATCAAACTGGCAACCTCCAGGTACACCAGACGACATCCAACCAACTAAGCCACAACGTCCAGGGCAGCCCTGTTGGGATCTTAAATGCTGGGTCAGGCTCCACATTGAAACCTCATTAGCCAGGTTTTCTGCTTCTTGAAATTAGTCCACCACACACTGGAGTCTGTCTCTGGAATGTCTGGTTATCTTGAATCTCCTTTCTGAAGCTAAGTTTTCTCATCTGTTAAATAGGAATCATAAACCCTGACCTGCCCTGGCCAGTTTGGCTCAGCGGTTAGAGCATCAGCCTGTGGTTCAGAGAGACCTGGGTTCGGTTCCTGCTAAGGGCATGTACCTTGGTTGCAGTCCCTTTCACGTCGATGTTTCTCTCTCTCTCTCTCTCTCTCTCTCTCTCTCTCTCTCCCTCCCTCCCTCCCTCCCTCCCTCCCTCCCTCCCTCTCTCTCTGAACAAAAAATGGAAAAATGTCCTCAGGTGAGGATAAAATAAATAAATAAATAAACCCTGACCTGTTTCTCTCACAAAGTGGACGGGAATAAGGATCTACCCATAATAAAGATATAAAACCGCCAGCCAGGAGCTGAGGACTTTGGGAAGTTAACCTCAGCAGCCTCAGTTTCTTCAGCTGTAAAATCGGATGAATAACACCTTTCATTTGGGATTGTTGAAAGAAAATGTGGGGATTTTCTGGAATACCAGCAGGTGCTCAATAATGGCAAGGAAGTTTTGAAGCCCAGTTCTTGGTTGAGTCCAACTAGTTTTTTGTGTATGTTGTCTTTTTCTTTTAGATTCATTCTTTTTCTTGAGTCTAACTAGTTTTATGGATCCAGTTTAACTGGCCATGAAACTTGCTCTCCAGCACACAAACTCTTATGTTTTAGCACCAGGATCCTGAGCACATTGGAGGTGAGGGGAGTGTGGGGCAGGCATTCTGCTGGCCCACACATACCCCCTTACCTGCATCATATGTAACTCTTGGAGAGTCATTCATCCTGGTTCTCAGGGCTGGAGTAACACTGCCTGTCAAAGAAATACAGTGTAACAGTCCCAAACCTCTGGTAAAAAAGAATCCATTCTTTGCTCATGCCTCAAGAAACATTAAAGGAAAGCCAATTAATAACCCTTGGTAACTGAGTTTCATATGCTTTTTTATTATCCCATTCACAGCTCTCTTCCCATCGCATTAGTTCTTGGAGCATCCTAGTCACAACTAAAAAAAAAAATTGTAGCTCACGTGTTATGGGTGCCTTTCTTATCTCTGTCTCTCATCACTAGAAGATTGTAGAAACAGCTCTGCAGACTCTCTGCAGGGACTTAGAAGGTAAAGGTGAGAAATTGGGTTTCATCCATGGTAGTAGAAGTTGAGATCCTGAAAAATATATTTACTGCTTCTCCCTCAGGCTCGCTTCTTCAGCCATCAAGTCCTATAGAAGAACACTTCTAAATTTTAATGTACAAGCCCTGGTCTGTTTTGCTCAGTGGTTAGAGCGTCAGCCTGCGGACCAGAGAGTCCAGGGTTTGGTTCCCGCTAAGGGCACGTACCTCCGTTGCAGTTTGTCCCGGCCCTGGTTGGGCTCGCGTGGGTGGCAACAACTCGATGAGTCTCTCTCACATTAATGTTTCTCTCTCTCTCTCCATCCCACTCTATCTGAAGATAGATACAAAAATGTCCTCGGGTGAGGATAAAAATAAGTAAATTTTAATGTGCAAGTGCAATCTCAGGGAGTTTTGTTAAATATCAGATTCTAATTCAGTAGGTCTGAGACCCATGGTTCACCTAGGTGATGCCAATGCTGCTGGTCAAAACCAC